CATAGACCAAAACTCCAAGCGAGAGGCGACAGAAAGGCAGGAGAGTGAACAAGGAAGCCGAGAGACCGGACGCGCGTGACATGCAATTCTTCGGTCGAAAAGAGAGACACCGAGTCGGATGAACATTGGATACACAGAAGTGATGTCCACGTTCGCGTGGACTGCGATATTTGAACAATTGCTTCGCCGCTTCGGTGCTCAAATCTGGACCAACTATGTGGCAACTGAGGGGTGACTATGTTGAAATTTAAGGGGAATTTAGCACAAATTTAAGGCTCATATAAAATCACCAGATGAAGTACCGGCCCCCACTATTCCTCTAAAAATAAGGTAAATCCCATTGGATCGTTATACCTCCTTTATTCTGCGGCAGAGTGCCTGCGGGGTTACAGAATGAATATTATGTTTCACCCGCCATAGCGAGAGGAGTCTCGATTTCCTTCCCGTGGGCTGTCTGATGTCTGCCCTACAGTCCCGAATGTTGAACACCCACACCCCAAACTGTCCGATTGAAACACCTGGGCATCAAATGTGCAGTTCGGACAGATAGGTCGGGACTGCCATGTTTGAGCACTCCTGAGGTGCACAAATCCCACAGCCGAAGGCCAACTGTCTGGATTTTGCAGTTGAATGAGGGGCCAACTGCATAAAACAAACAGCTGAAATCACCACACGGGCTGTATATATCCAACAGCTCATCCCTCCCTGTACAGAGTATACGGTTTACCCAACTGTGGCCATCACACAGTTGGTCACGAACTATGCATTTAAGCAGGTTCGCGCTTGAATCAGGCTCACTCACCAAACTGCTGAGAATAAATTCACACCAACTCAAAACGAGTTTCTTGTACGCCACGGCGCCTTCTTCGGACTTGATACATTCAAGGCGCGGGACTACAAAGAGAAGAGTGAATTAGCAAACGAGACTCGTGAGATGCATAGTATGGTACATACCTCGGATACGGCGTTGAGGTATCTGAATCAGTAATGGTCTCGCTCGACTCTTTACTCCGATCACACAGTTCTCCAAGGGAAATGGAGTCAATAACAATGCAGCAAGTGGAACACGGGGCTCCTTGGCATATCTTGCTCAAGGCAGAAATGAGGTCCGCCTGTCTCGCGGAACAGGGTCATATGCACTGGACACATATTAGATGCGCTCGCGAGATTGGCAAATACGGTGTTCAGAGTTCTTGCTTGTTTCGACGCTCGTATCTCCCGGCTTCGCTCACATGTATGTGTTCTCAGGCCTGCTAAGTCAATATATTTGTTTCCCAGAGGTCCTGTAACCACAAGAATCGCGACACGGCAATGACATTCCTATGCCTTTGGAAGATTCCCATAAATTAAAATGCCACAAAACTTTACGTACACAGAAATAGATTGGCAAGCGTATCAAACTAAAGAAGCATGGGTTTATAGAGAAGTAGAAATTCAATTGGCAGAATATTTCCTATCATTGGGTGCAACACGCAAGCATCCAAATCAGCTCGGCGCATCGGCCAGGCCGTACCAAGGAGACAAGATCCCAGACGGAGGAAGGTATGTGAGCTCGAGATCAAGCCCACTCTGCACGAGTGGACGGATGTCGCGCTCCATTTCCCGCGCAAAGTGAACGATCAAACACTTCAATGTGCGAGATTCAATGAAACGCAAGAGCGTGTCGTCGGAAAAATAACAGGCTGTGTTTATTTCCAACACCTGGAGTCCCGGGCAGCAGTGGGTGGGGGTGGGGGATTCAGAAGATGGTATGAGGAGTTCAATAATTTCATCAGCAAGAATGTTGGAGGGGCCTTCGTTGTATGCAGAGACCGCGTTGATCTTGATTTCCCGAATAGTATGGGGTATCCCGCGAAGGAAATCTGTAAGGGATGTCTCGGAGAACAATTCGGTGGTGAGTTCAAGGCTCTCGATCCGTGGGGCAGCGGCGAAAAACGGGCCGTAGAGGGTGGGGCCGTAGAGGGTGGGATCATCACGGCCTGTGCCGCGAAGTGTGAGAGACCGCAATTGTGGGAGCGAGAGCCGGTTGAACAGAGGAAGAAGGGTAGTTGAAGGCTTTCCAAAACACTCAACCGCCAGTGTATGAAGGAAAGGGAGCTCGAGGATAAGCTCCGCCAAGCTGCTGTGGTTCTCGAGTTCACTATCAATTTGAAGCCGGCAGGTTCGGAGCTGAGGGCACCGGGAGAACACCTGGAGGGTCATATCCCTTGTCAAAGGTATACCGTCACGATACCACAGTATTTCGATCGAAAGGTCTGTTAGACCATTCCACCGAAGCGGTAACTCCAAGGGAGTGAAATTGCCGCCCGAGATGAAGGCAGAAAGAATGTTGGAGCTGCGAAGGAACTGCAGCGAGTCCCATCGGAGGGAGGTATGGTCATCGATCTCAGTCATGTGGATTGACTTGAGCATAGGCACGTCCACCTCGGTGAGATGCGATAACGCCCCGAAAACCGAAGACTCGGCCGTGAACGCGATGTGCTCCCAACGTGATTTGAATGGGAGCAGGGCCTGAATAATTTGGGCGGCGAAACCAGTTTTACTCGCTATGGCTTTCACCGATATCGAGAGCGGGCACTGGCCGGATCGACCTAGCCACATCTTGGTGATCTCAAGCCGCTGAGCCACCTTCTTGTCGATTAGTGTAAGGACAGCGAAATATGGTGGGTTGGGCTCCACGACGTGAAGTCTGGACCAAAGATGGGGTGTCGAGAGGGATATGGTTCGCCAGGAGCTGCAAATGCGCCCTAGAAGGACGGGCGCCTCCACGGCACTCATAACGCAGTTACGGTGTGCTGGAAGACAGGCTATGAAGATCTCTTGGATGATGTCGAGGGGGAGCCGCCGAACCGGCGAAATGAGAGCCATGTGGGCGTCGACGTAGGCCCCAAGCTTGTCGCGCTCATCTCGCAGTTTCTCGACGGCCTTTTGGAGATCGGCGATTTCATCGTCAAGACACTGGAGTCGACGGGTGGGTTCAACCAGGAGGCTTTGGATTTCAATGTTTTCCTCGTCGCTGGGACAGTAGTTCGTCCCGAGCTTAGATGTGAAGGGAGAAGACATGAGGCGATGAGGCGGTGCGCGGCCGACACACGAACACGTGAGGGATGGAAACACGTAAGTGATGGAAGCTGTCGCGTCGCGAGAGAGTCGAACTCAACGCCAATTCACGGGGAAATTGGCTCCCGAGCCCAAATTCTCGTGATAATGTCCACCCAGGAGTCCTTCCTTTACTTGAACTAGCCAAATTTCGGTGTTAATCAGAATTTATTCAATGCGATTCAAGGAGGATCTTCGTGGTACGGGCCGTTCTGAATATTATGATCACGGTTCAAGGTTGAGCTTGAGACGCTGTATGAGCGCTACCGTAGTGTGGTGTGAGAAAGCGGAGACCGGCTGAGGGATAATTCCACCGAAGAATGAGTAAACGGCGCAGCTGCGGACTCGGAGCCTTGACCTTGGCCCGAATACAAGTCCTGACTCAAGTCTCGTCGGCTATTATAACAATCTTACTTGTCGATCGTAGTTCGCAGGGAGAGCGACGGGACCTTGCCCACCCAAACTTGAGGAGGTATGGGGACTGGACAGCCCGACAGCCCCAACGCGTGTTCGTCGCACTTCCGAGTTATCAATAGAGACAAGAGACGGGTGGAGCGGGACAGAACTTACGCAGCGAGGGGGATTGGGATGAGACCAGCTCATCTGTAAGCTGTAGCGCTGAGCGGAGGAGCCTAACAGTCTTTATGGGAGCAATTTTGAAGCACAGAGAGTGGAAACGGGTGGGACATCCAGAGCTCCCAAGAGATACCCAAAAAGCTCGCAGCCTTTCCGTACAGATAGCGAAGAAGAAGCGGAGCATACGAGATGCCAAATGCGGAATCCCAGGGCCAAGTGGAGGTGGGTAATTCACGAGGGGGGCGTTCTTTACATGCATAGTCATTGCGCGGATCTCAGGGAGCTATACTCGAGAGGGCTCCCAGTGGCGATTAATTTCGGCGCGTCGATTCAAGCGCTCGCATCTTCAACTGACTTGGAGTTGTGGTATTACTAGGCCTCCCTGAAATGCTGCCAGTGACTCGGGACTCGAGTCTGAGTCAAAGGACACAGATTGAACTGTCCAGAGAACACCACGCGTGGGGGGCCTCAAACGATCCATGAGGACCCACAATTTTGAAGAGCAACTGCGTCGACTCGGCATGCTTGCGGCCTGCGAGGGCGGATTAAAAGATAGAGATAAAATAGCCCGGGCGTCGCGAAAGATCACGGCGCATAAATTGAGTACCAGTGGCGATTCAAGCTGATTGAGCTGGCTTTGTCAAAATTTTCAACGATAGCCGGATGAAAGGCGACGCGTATGAGCGTCTAGTCCGATGTTGATTCGGATTTTTATCGCGAGTACGCAGTTTAATTCTGAGAGAGAGAGGCATTCCCCGGCGTCGCGAAATTATGCAGCCTTGGAACGCGTCACTAGATTGCTGAGGACATCCCCGAGCCGAAGTCAAGACTCCAGAGTTTCCGATCCGAGTCCGAGTAGCGGGTTCTTCGCTCGACGATGGTAATGGATGGACAGGAACGGTGCAATTAAGCCCCGTGGAGAGAGTCGCAACGAATCAGAGTGGCATCTGAGACCGCAAGAGACTCGAGAGTAGTAGATTGCTGGACAGTAGTGAGAGGTTTTTTGTAGAGCGAGTTCCGGACTGTTCTCTTCGCAGTGGTCTTGACGTTCGCATGTTCGCAATTCGACGTTGCATATCCCCGATGGTTAGTCGAAATACGAGATGAAGAGCTTAGCCGCCGTAGGAAACGAATCCCGATGGTGGAAGAGAAAAGCAGGGCGGGCGCTGCCGCAGGATCACGTGCGTGTTCTTCTCAAGTTGAAAATCCGAGGTCCTTGAGCGTAGACACTGTTTGGGTGTAAAAAATACACAAGGGAATGAGGACCGTGGCTGATATTTAAAGGTAGGAACGGGAAAGAAAGAAACAATGTATATGGGAAAGAATGGCCTGGCCTTGAGTCGAACAAGAATCTTACACATGTCCACATAATATTTAATTGGGATAGTCCTAAAGAAAGTGGACGTGTTCCCATTACACCACCAGACCTTTTCCTCCAGACTCCCACAAGTTGAATAGATGCACAAATTTTCGCAGGAGAACGAGACCAAAAAACGATATGGGGTGGCGTGGCCTTGAATCGGACAAGGAACTCCAGAGATCTGACACACTTCAAAAAATAAGAGGAAGTATGTTACCATTACACCACCAGACTTTTATCCCTCCCACAAGCTGAATACATGCAGCAGTTTCCGCAGAAGAATGAGAACAAAAAATGTCACCAGAAAAAGCTTGGCCTGGCCTTGACTCGAACAATGAACTCCCTCAAAATGCCATAACTACTCTCCAAAGGAGGTCAAGATGTTATCATTACTGTACCTCTTTGTATGGGTGAAACACTTTTTGAAGTGCGACTGAAACGGCGGGCGTGAAACGTGAAACGGCGCGGGTGTTATGCGTGAAACGGCGCGGGTGTTATGCGTGACATCACCAAAATATTGAAACGGCCGGCAGCAGCGGCGGTACAAATCATACACCACAAAAACTTTGCTACATGCCTGGTGGTAAAAAACCCAAGGCCTCGACGGGCCCACTGCAGGCTCTCATAGAACATGTTAACTACCTAAAACAGCTTCTTGTGCATCTTCCGGAAACACTTCCATTGGATCCTCCGGCCTCACTCTACCGCCTCTACCTTGATGAGGATCGCGTCGCTGAAGCTGAAACTGTTTTCCCAGAAGCCTGCCGTGCTTTGGAGTGTCCTTTGGAACATGGCAAAGGAAAGACACTCCTGTCAAGTTTGTAGAGCACGGATTGCGACTCGCAGCGTTGGTGCCATTCTTAAAGGCGGCCATCAAACGGATGAGTCCGTCTGAACGGGATGCTTTCGATGCGGCCTGGATTGAGAAGCTGATTCACGGTGCAAAAGACAGTGGGGCCTCTATCCCGCCTCGCAACTTGAAGTGCGCATCAGACCAGCTGGAAGGACATGAGTCAGAGGACATTCCTGCGCCGAAGAAAAGCAGGAAGCGAGGCGCACCAATCACCATCTACGGCAGTGACAGCGACATTGCCGATGAACCATCCTGCCAGCCCAATGTCCCCAAGCAGACACTCGCATCCGACGTCGTTGTTCCATCAACTGCGGGTGTGAACCTGATCCAGAATCAGCAAGCGACACTGGGAACAATGGGATGGCAGACGTGGGCACCTGGTGCAAAGGAGGCGCATCAGAGGGAGATGGGCAAGCTCCACCGCGAGCGCATGGAGCATTTGACGGACAAGAAAGCGGCAGAGGAGGAGCAGAGGCAGCACAGGAAACGGGAGCTGGCAGCTGCGAGGCAGAGGAAGCACCGGGAGAAGAAGAGGGTGGAGCGCGACCTATCCGACGATGACAATGTGAATGCGGTCTTGCTTCGTGGCGATCGCCCATGAACGCAGCGGCATTGATGTGGCTGGAATTTCCCGCGCTGGAACACAGGGTTGGCGAGAGAAACGAAACGGAACCAAAGGCGGCGCTGTGCAGAAAAAGGCAGCGACCGTGAATTGGTTTAATCCATTTTTATGGGGCCACATTGAGAAGGCCATGCGTCGCACCGGATGGAGTCCTACAGCCGCCGTTAACAACCTTCAACGGGATTTTCCTGGACTCTTCAAAAGCCTTGGGAAAGGAACCATCTCGAGATGGCGGGTAAAAGGGAAGAATGAGTGGACACCGGACACGTTGCAGAAGATCGTTTCCGGCAAGGCAATTGTCGCGTCCGGTCGGACCGGAGTTCTTGCACCTTATCCTGATGTCACCAAAAATGTCAAAGAGGCTCTGCGAGGCTTGCGAGAGGCTGGGGCTGTGGTCAATCTCTCAATCGCCAGAAGCTTGTTGATCTCGGAAATCACGCAACAGCAGCCGCAGCTTCTGACAAAATTCAAAGTATCTGAATATTATGTTCGCACGTTCTTGGCCAGTGTTATGGAGTGGACTCCTCGCAAAGCAACTCGAACTGCACGTCACATCCCGGAAGACGCCCCAGCACTCTTAAAAAGGACATTCTTCCGCCTTCGCTATGTGATCTTCACGGGTAGAATTCCCCCGGAGGTTCGTGTCTTTTTTCTCGTGTTCCATCGCTGAGCAATCCACCAGTTGATCATCAATGCTGATCAGACGGGGAATTATCTCCTTCCTTCCAGTGCCCAGACTTTCCATGACCGAGGGGCAAAACAGGTCGACGTTATAGCTAAAGATGAGAAACGGGCATACACCATCATGTTGGCTTCGACCGCCGCCGATGATTTCCTTCCAATTCAGGCGATCTGGGCTGGCAAAACAGATGGTTCCTTGCCCTCACACAAGGCCGAGAGAATTCAGGATGCACGCGACCGTGGCTTTATATTTTCTTCAGCTAACAGCAAAAAGAAAGGAAGTCACTTCTCCACGCTCACAACCATGCGAGATTGGGTTAAAGATGTTGTCGCTCCTTGGCGAGCCAAGGTCATAGCGTCTCGAGACGACCTTGACGACGATCAACTCATGATTGTCTACCTCGACATTTATGCAGTTCACATTGGCGAAGAATTCCGTACCCTGGTTTTCACGGAATACCCGTATATCATTCTAATCTTTGTTCCTGGGGGATGCACACCTCTTTTTCAGCCAGCAGACGTCGGTCTCCAACGCGTTGCCAAACATATTTTGAAACAAGACTCTCTCGACTTTCTTGTTGATATATTCCGTACACAATGCAAAAAAGGAGTGGCTCCGAAGGATGTCAAATTTCCCTCGGGCCTTCCTCCGCTCCGTGATGCTACTGTCAGAGGTCTTGTCAAGATGTACGACTATTTCCAGACCCCAGAAGGCCGTGAGATCGTTAAACAGGTGAGCCTCAATTGATGGTTTCGGCATAGATTGACCGCGTGTCGTAAAGGCATGGCGCAAATGTGAAGTGCCAGGCACGGAATGGAATCTTTCAGCAGACTGCTTGTATGGAAAAGCTTCCGAGAAGACATTGCTTGACTTTCTCCGGGAGGATACAACATTGGCAACCGAAATCGCAAACCGTTGCGGGGCTGCTCGTCTTGCCGAAGTCATCACCACTTTGGAGAAATCCAATGCCAAGGCTGATTTGCTGAAGGAAGAGCGCGGAAATTTCGACACAGAGGACGACTCGGATGTAGCCTTTAACATCGTTGTCGAAGATGCACTCGGCATCAGTGTCCATCCGGCTGAATTTTCGGAGCATGGTCCTATAACTTTCGACGCGGCACGGACTGCAGACAGAGATGGTTTGGTTGCCGGTGATCACAGCGAGGATATATGGGCATATCCAGATGGAGGTCAGAGATGGGATGAAGTGGCGGAAATGGGATTGGAGAACGAGGTTGAAAGTGAATAAATATACTCCGCGCGCTACAATACTATCTCCTAGAGAGTCGGACCAATCTTCGATGCATTTTTAAGTTTTTTTCTTGCGCAGAATTTTTTTTTTTCAAGCTGTTTAAATGTCACGCATTTTCCGTGAAACGGGGGGCGTGTTATGTGTTACTCACCCCCCTAACTTGAAACGAAACGGGTACTGCGTTACGCGTTACGTTTCACCCATACAAAGAGGTACAGTACACCACCAGACCATTCTTACGGTCTCACACAACGTGAATACACGGTGGATTTCGTGTGCCTCGATCCAAAAGAACTACACCGCCATTGGATGGCCTAGCCTTGAATTGAACAAGGATTTCCTGCTGAGCTTCTCCAAATACTGTAACTCGCTTATGTCAAGCAGGTGTGCTACCACTACACCACCAGGTCACTCCTATCTCCTCCCACGAGTTGAATATCTATATGTCAGACATTTCATTTCACTGCGGGTTGAAATTGGCCATAACATCCGAATCAACGATAAATTCATTCAACCTGACACGCTCGGATGCGTCACAACTTGGTTAGCGCTGGGTCCGCGCGCTCGGTCGTTGTTGCGGCATGACTCACACTCGACCGGGGGATGGATCACTAGGTGATTTTACATAATTTATTACGATCAATCAACGAGCTGGAGGTGTAAGTCAGGAAGGGCTGAAATAAGGTATAGCTGCATATGAAAAAAGGACGCGGGATCGGGGAAGTGAGGAGGTGTGCAAGGGATGAGAAACGGAAACGGGGGGAATACGGGAGGCGGAGAAGAACGAGTTGGATATGTATGTAGATGTGCGGGTTTAGCAGCTTGGATGGATGTCTCCTTCGGACTCGAGGTCATCCCAGCGATGAACGGACAGCGTGCGGGATCGCAGACGGGGAGAGAATGAATCGATATTCAGGACGCGATGGTTCAGAAGTTGAACGCAAGCTATATTATATATGCGATTACTTAGACAGGGAGGAAGACGCGCGTTCCCAAAAGACGACGCCCGCGGCCCTGCAGCTGAGAGCACCGCGTGCCGGCGCCGTATCCGAGGTCGCCCAGTCGCACGAGGGATATTGGAGCGGCCTCGCATGCAGATTGGAACACGGAGACTGGGTGTACATGTCTCGCACGTTAATCGGTCCGGACCTGGCCCGTGGGTGGCGTTGGTTATCGACCAGCAAGGAGTTAAGCTGATGGTCTTCGCTCGAAAGAAATAAATAAAGGAAGGCAGGAAGGAGGATGGAAGGCAGGTAGACAGACGGGCTTCGTGGAGGCGCCATCGATCAGTCCTTTTCATTAATACCGTGGGTGGAGCCCGCAAAGTCGTATCTGTAGTAGGAGTCCACGATTTGCAGAGTTTCAACTTGTTCCTTCTGAATCAGTAGTAGTGAGTGGTCCAGGCGACTTGAGCTTCAGTGGTGTCTAACTAGCGTCGACAGGTTCACCTTGAGAGATTCGGGAGGATCTTGAGACCTTGAGAAATCGTACGGACGGAGAGCGTAAGCGTACTTCAAGGAGGGTGTGCATAGCTAGGTGGCCGTGGAGAAGGCTCGAAGAGTGTAGCGGTTGGAGCCCATGGCCACGCTGGGGGCTCGGAGGAGAGGTGTGGAGTCGAGCTTTCTTTCGAGCGCTTCCTATGAATAAGTATAGTATAGCCTACAAACATCAATATACCTTCGTATAGACTAAAGGAACTCAGATCACGCAACAGTGACTCGCCCTGCATCGAAGTTGAATCTTGATGATATCATATACGCGAATCGGGCGGAGGCAGGAGACAGAACTTCTGGCAGGAGAGGAGGAGAGGGTTGGGATCCGGCATAGCCAGCAGGCAGAAAACAGACAAAGGGCAGAAGACGGACCGGACATGGTGGAGCGCCGAGTCGTGTAGGTAAAAACCCGACTCCAAGTCGGGATGGGACTCGTGGAATAGATGTCAGATTGATATTTGTACTGCGAGTGAAAAATGAAGGTCCCGTGAAGTCGGGGTCGTGAGGTTGGAGTTAAATTGGGCTTGCACTTGAGTTGGGTGCGTAGGTGGAGACTCAGAGGGCGGAGACGAGGCTTAAGCCGGAGAGCGCGAGGTAGTGCGCGCACATTTGGATACGTACGTATTTAGATGGCCGTAACTTGAACTTCTCACGCGGGAAGGGAAGGGAAGGGCCGCACGGATAGTCCAAAGCGGAAATCCGAGTCCGAGTTCGAAGGAACGAGAGAGGTGATAATTACAGGACGGAAGGATCTATAGCGATTGTGGAATGAGGGATCGTTGGAGTCTGGCTAGCGAGTGGATTCACGGCGAGGAAGTTAGCGGTGGAGGAGCGCAATCCGGATTCCGCGAGAGGCGCTAAACTAGTACTACGAGATGGAGCTCGAGGACCGGATGGGAGGTAGAGCGTCCTGAATCTGAGGATCGGGCGTAGATCTCGGATTCCAGTCCGAGTCCGCGTCGATAGGTATCGCGGGTCGGTACTAGTACTTGGTAAGGACTCGCCGGCATTCTGAAGCCGCGTGCGGGTTCTCGTTCTCGAGTGACGAGAGAAGGCATAGTAATTGGAAGGAGTAAAGAGGAAGGGGTAGGAAGGAAGGAAGAAGGACTGAGGAGAAGAGCGAGTGGCGGATTGGGCGCGCGGATCGCGGGTGGAAGCGAATCGCGATGTGCCTTCAGCTCCAGGCACGCGCCCCGTGTCATTCCCCTTCCAAACTACCCTACTCCATCCCCGACACAAACACATACACATTTTCTTGCCCTATTTATTCGCCGCGCACTCCGGCGCACCGCGTCTTAGTAGTTTGTATACTTGTTGCGGTATAGAAATGCAGATACCAAAAAAAAAGAAAACAGCTCCAGGCACGCACCCTTCATCATGATCACTGCTGTCCGTTCCACGCACGCATGAATGACGCTCAGCCCGTCCGCCAACCCCTCGGACCCTTCATCAGCAAAACAGAATGCATCTGGCTGATCTGGCACCAGACCAGCCAAGCGCGCCATGCCGCCAGATTTGCATCTGGCAGCATAATGACCTTCGCGACGCCATATTCAGTTCTGGCGCCAGAACTTCATCAGAAGCTCAATTGTGGCAACGGGTCCTCATAGACAATCTGCAGTATAAATTATAGAATACAGATATATTCACGATAGAAAGGAATTGATACATGAAATGAAACCCTCTCCCACGGCCAGACCACTCGAGCGTGGCATGTCGAGCCCACCGACTGCGCCCCGAATCTCCCTGCGGGCACACGATAGCCGCACATGCACCTAACCGCCAGCTACCGTCCCTGACGGACCAAGGAGCACCGCGCGGTTCTTCGACCAAGTGATTATCTGCACTGTGGAATGAATATCAGCGACCATATGGGGGACAGAAAATATGAACAGCGCAGGAAGGGGGGAAGGCAAGGCAAAAGGCAAAGAAATAGACACACCTTGCCGGCTCGCCGACCCTTTCCCTTTCCCGCCGCCGCCCCTCTCCTCCGAGCCTTCGCTCGCGTGACCGCGTGCTGGTATGGCCGACCCGGCGAGCACGCGGACAGGTGTTGAGGGATGCTAGTACAGATGCCAGTACATGAAGTGCTTGAGGTCTTGAAGGACCGAGGTCTTGATATGGGGACTTGAAGCGGCAGGTCTTGAAGATCGCCATCTTGAATGGGGAGATGGCAGGTCTTGAAGCTCGAGATCTTGAAGGATTAGCTTGAGGCTTGAGGTCTTGAAGCCCAAAGATGTTGCAAGGGGAGAGGAACCAAACCAAGAGCCAGAAAGACAATATTGGTGAAGCAGTCCGCGACAAGCCTTCAAGTTTGAGGTTTTGGAGAATTTCAGCCTGGCGAAGGTAAGGAAAGACCACTACCGGCGTTAGATGTGGGGGGAAGAGAAAAGGGAAGCGTCAAATGACAAACTGCGAGAGGTCTTTCGGAGAGAGGATGGTGGGAGGAAGATAGAAGTACCCCATCAATATCAACCATCAAGCCGAAACACGTGATGCGCACGGACCCTTTGATGCGATGATGCGAACCTCGATGAACCCGCGACTTCAGCGGTTAAATCATATTGCGCACACTTTCCTGGCAGCCTTTGATTAATTTGTCTGTAACACAATGCCGGCTCGATACCACTGGAATCCAGGATGCCGGGCCGGGCCCTCTCGTGTCTTTGGGCATCTTCGTCAATTCTTGAGCAGGTCTTTGGTAACATTTTGATTTGTAGGGACCCGAATTAACAATACGAAATTCCATTTGGTTGAGAAAATGCTAGCCTAAAAAAAAAACTGGTGTGTTATGGGCCGTCTGGCTTGTATGGCAGCCATACCGGCCATATCCGCCAGATGGAGCCAGACGGTGCCATGCGTGCCAGAGAATTTCTGTTTTGCTGATGTTGTCTAGGATGCCCCTGTCAACTCGTTGGGGATCTCAGACTCAAAAATACTTAAGTTTAAGCGCATGACGCGCGCATGATCTTACCGTCACCGTGATCTTAAATCTGATTAGCGCTTAGCGCTCCCGCCTGCGCACGGACTCGGACCCCGCCGCGCTGCCGCGGGGTGGGTTTGATGGCCGGGCACCGCCACGCGCCACCTACCCCGCTCCCGTTCCCGGGCCCTCAGCCCCAGAAACGCACGCCCAGCGCACGACCGCGCGCCACCGACACCGGCACCGGCACACGCAGAGCCTCGGGCTCCTCTCGCCCATCCCCAGCAGCTCGAGCCTGCGCAACGACCAGGCGCTGCGCTCCTCCTCCGTGCTCGCACCCTCGACAACACCGATGTCGAATTCGAATTCAAGTACAAGTATTAGTAGTAGCGGGACAAGCGGCAGCAGCCGCGCGCGCAAACGCACCTCCCTCCCGCCGCTCCCCGCGCTCCTCGCGAGTCTGAATCTGAGTCTGGGCGCGCTCTTCCCTGGCGCGTCGACCTCCTCCACCTCGTCTACTATACCTTCCTCGCCCCCTTCCTCGACCTCCGCTTCTACCTCGTCAGGATCTACATCGTCTTCAGGGGCTCCACTTCCACAACGACGCCCCGAACCCCAACGACGCCGACGCTACACGCCCCCGCGCCGCGCCGCCCTTCTGCTGCCTCTCCTCTGATGGAGCGCGCCCACACGCCTTCGTCCTCGTCGAGGTCGGAGCAGCTCCTACGCGCGGCGTTGAGGAGGGGGAGTGCGAGTCCCATGTCGCCGCCCGCGAACAGACTGAATCCTCCTTCCCCGACTGGCGCCCCCTCCCCTCCCAACCTCCGCCAAAACGACGCTCCTTGCCGACGTCCAGCCTCCGCCGCCACGCTCGCGTCCTGCGCGCCTGCCGAGGGGGGAGGCCGCTAGATCGAAGCGCCGGCGCCGCGCGGGGTCACACGACATTCACTGCCTCATTCTTGCAGGGGCGGGCACGGAGGCGGGCAGCGCGGCA